TTCATAGCCTTTTTGGCGACAGTCCCCAGTCGCTCGTTGTCCAGCAGTCGGTGCATGACCCACGGAAGCCCGCTGGCGATGGGACGGTCTTGTAGTGGCGCAGCGAGGTCAGACTCGATCTTCTTGTCGTAGTAAGCGAACCTGGAGAAGCCAAGGACGTCAGGGCGGCACCTGAAGCACCTTGCGAGAAGTACTGTGGCAGGACTGCCCTCGCCCAGGAATTCGTAAACTTTCTCGAAAAGGGATACTTGTAGCCCCATGTATCCTGCGCGCCGGGACTGCGCAACGGGCGGGAGCTGCTTGGGATCGCCCACAAGCACGATGTGAGCACCACAGTCGACCATAGAAATGCCGGTGGAGATGGCAGCAGAGACCTCGTTGACGTGGCCAGCCTCGTCGATGCTACCCAGGATCACCTTGGATGCGCTGGGCTGGTCGAGCCTTCAGGAACCTTCGTGGGTCGCAATGATAATGCTGCATTCGCTGCGGGCGTCGTCTTTGAACTTCCGCCAGCCTTTACTATTGTTGGACCTGTTGGGCTCGGTGTTCCATGCGCGTCGATAGCGACTGGTGGCTGACAATGTGTGAACGTCAGGATGTGCGATGCGTTCGTCCTCTGCTAGTCGTGCAGCACAGCTCGGGCATTGCGGAAAGTTGACGAGGCGGCCCTCCCTGCGCGCTGTTTCGAGGGCGACGGCCATTTGGTCTGCTGCTGCATTGGGGCCAGCGGCGGCGAGAACAATGGAACGGAGGCCCGCGACATGTGCCCAGAGCCTGGCAAGTGCGGCAGCGAAACGCGTTTCCCTGTGCCATGTGGGCCTTGCACTGCCGCGTCGAGATGTTCAACGGATGAGCGGAAGGCCCGCGCGTGGTCGTCGCTGAGGTCATGCGCTGCAATGACCCATTTGATGGTGTCCTCAGCGGGCACGTTGTTGGTTCGCTGCCACGCCGAGCCTGGGCGTTCGTCTATTTCGGCGTCCGCGATCGGTTCCAAAGCGCCCGGCCTGCCCCCCGGGTCGCCAAACTGGCCGGGGCCAAGCAGCGGGCCCCGCGGCGTTGCACGACGTCGGAAGCGCAAGAAGCATCCGCTTAGTGCGTTCCTGTAAGTGCGCGCCGTTGGAACTTCGGTGATTCCCGCTGTCGTCTGTCGCAAAGGCCAGCGCGCATGGCAACGCAGCAAGCGTGGTTGCCATAGATCGCCCCAGTGCACGTTGGAGTGGTACATGTTCGCCAGGTCGGTTTTGACATTTTCGCGCTGGATCGCGCTGGGCGCGACGTCGACGCGGTGGCGGGGCGCGCCTGTCTTTTCCAGCAGATGCGCTACAGCAGAGATGCTGCGCAGTGGACCGTCGACCTTGTCGTGATTGACCAGAAAACCATCGGTTGGGTAGACGCGACAATGCAGATGGAGCCCCCGCTCGTCGCCTAGGATGACCCGCCCGGGGAAGCGCGGGAAGACCACGCGGAGACAAGCGTTTTCGTCGGTGTTGGGTCCATTGTGCGACAGCAGCACTGGCCGCACTCCCCCCCCCCGCAGTCTGCTGTCGGCTGCCACTCGGTGTCGCAGCTGACCACGTAGTAGTCCGTGGCTTCGCTCTCTTCGATCCAGCCCTCAAGTTTGCAAGCCTGAATGAACCAGCGTCGCCTCGCTGGCGTCGCCCGCTCCAGGCAAGCGTTTCAGGCGCAGGCGCGCTTGGCTGTCAAGACCCTACGAGTCTTGGTCTGTCCGTCGTAGTCCAGGTCCAAATTGGCACGCATTTCAACTTGGCTCATCCGGACGAGTCCGGCGACGTCATCCTCGACGTCAGTTGCCCAGGCGCCGGGCGGAATGGCGCCACTCGGGGCCCTTCCGAAAAAAAATCGAAGGAATGGTCGCCTGTCTTCCGTGATTCCACCGGAAACTGCATATATTCTTGATTTTAACGGCGGCACCCCGTCCGCGACCCGCAGCAACCGCGGCCTCAGGCCCTTCGTTGCTTGCGACGCCCGGCGCGGTGGAAGGATTAGACGGCGCACTTGGCTGTCCTGAGCTGCCCTGTGCCCGGGAGACTGGCCAGCTGGGGACAGCGCCAGGTGCGCCGCAGGGACTAGGGCCAGCAGCGCCCGCTGCGGCACCTAGGCCGCCAGTGCCGAGTACCGAGGCGGCCTCTTCCTGAGGGGGGGGCGATTGGCAAGGCACCGCCGCAGGGCCCACCAGGTGGTGCCATTGCTCGCCCTGCATTCTCGTTGCGAGCGATGCCGTCAACGGTCAATATCCCACCAGCCCTCTCGGCGTCGGTGGTTTAGAGCGTTTCCTCTTCCACCCCTCCCTCTTCCCCTTCGGGGAGGGGTTTACCCCTCCCCCCACCCCCTCCCCACTGACCTGGACAGGGGGTTCCGCGGCGCGTTGGAGCGCCCAAGATCGACCCCTGGGAGGGCTAAAATTCGACACCCCTCACGAGGATCGTGGCTCCTGAGGGGGGGCTGTAATTTGGGAGCCCCCCTTCGCTGATCGATCTCCTCCAAGATGGCTCCGAGGCCCCCCAAGAGGCCACCAGGAGGCCCCCAAGAAACCCCCAAGAGGCCCCAAGAGACCCCCCAGAGGCACCCAAGAAGCGCCCAGGAGGCCCCAAGAAGCGCCCAGGAGGCCCCCAAAGGCCCCAAGATGGCCCCAAGAGGCCCCAAGAGGCCCCCAGGAGGCCCCAAAGAAGATCCCGAACGGCCCACAGAGTCACGGAGGCCCCCCCGAGGCACCCAAGGCGCCGAAAAGCCCCTCAGGACGACCCTCTACTCGCCTGGGCGTCGTTTCTGGACGGGCTGGTGGGGATGCGCGAATCGTCTAGAATTTTGGGTTCATTCGGTGTCCCGGTGTTCCTTGTTCGGGGATGTGCCGGTGCCCCAGGGGCCCAGGCGCTGTTTGGTGGGCGGACTTGATCTTTGTTCCCCGTTACTCCCAGTGGCGGCAGAGCCGTGGGCTCTTGGTAGGTCGTGGGGTAGAGGACTGGGACATGGCCCCAGTCTGGTTGGAAGACCATTTCCTGGCCGCGGCAAATCGGAATCCAAGGGCCCAGTAGTCCCCGTTCCGCCCAGTCGAATGGCGCGGCCTTCCACTCGGGCCCCCACTGATCCCACTTGACGCGTGCGACGTGGCACCCAGTGACCCTGTCCGCGCATGCGCCGATGGTGCGCGCCCACAGATTCCCAGCGGAGTCAAACTGACTCGGATCTGGCCAGTCGCCCTTCCATTTGGCGATCATTTCCTTGCGATGATCTCCACAAAAATGCGCTTGATCCCACGCGTGCATCTGGCAGGGCTCGCACAGCCATCTCCATGTACGCATCTGTCCCCAAGCCATCGTCGGCATTTCACGGAGCTCGAACATGGGCCGTCCAGTGGCGGTGCCCCGCCGCGGCCCACTTGGGTCGTGCGGCCCCAGCGCCAGAAAGCGAGCCGAGACATGTGCTTTCCCGCTGCCGCCCCATACTGTTTCAGTGGTCGTACCCGTCGTGGCAGCTAACCGCTGCCTGCTGGTGAGCTATCGCTGGCCAAGGCGGCGGCGGGCGGGGGGGGGGGGGCCTGACCGCGCGCCCCTGAGCCGAAACGGCTTACGGGCGTTCCACTGCATCCACCGCGGCTGCAATGCCGGCAGTGTCCAGGAGGTCCACCTGCGAGACAGGAGAAAGGGGGGAAGAGGAGGGGCGGCGGAGGCGCGGTGGAAGAGGATGGCGGTTACAGTTTGGCAAGTTTCGTGCATCTTGTGGGCCCAGAAGACGCCCAGTCAGGCAAGGCGGTCAGCAGTTTTGTTGAAACGTCTTCGCACGGCCTGCCAGGTCAGCGCCCACCCGGCATCGTCAGTTGGCAAGGCGTGAGACGTCTGTACCTGGCTGCGCCTGCCCCGTACCTGATGGCACCGATATTGTCGCCAACAACACGTGCTCTCTGCCCGCGACACGCTGCGAAGCTTAGGAGCGACAGCACTGCCCTGCATCCCGCCACTTCGGCTGCTTGTGCGCCACCAGAACTGGGCAAGGCCACGATGCCAATTCCGACGAAGTCGGGGCGTCCAGTCTCTGGGTTGCGATACCAAAGCGCGGCGCCGCCTCCAGCGACTTTGCGGTCGCCGAGTGCGCGCACGCCGCCGTCAGAGGTGACCTCGCACGGCCACAAAGTGGAGTTGAGGTTGGGGAAGGGGGTGGTTGACATTGACCTCTACTCCCCGCTCGAATTTTTGCGCGGCATGGAGTGTGGCGACGCGGGTGTCGCACAGGCGACAGTGCCGGCGCGCCCACTCGGCTGCAGGCCTGAAATCGGCGCGTGGGCATGGGAACCAGCCAGGCCCGGGCAAAACACAGCCCGCTTTGCGATGATGCGCATGCAGGGTAGCATTTTTCCTCCCGACGACGCCCGCGCCAGTCCACGCACCAGCACAGGGTCCCAAGAAAAAAGGAATACGCCCCAGCGACCCAGCGCCAACGCACCGGGCGCGATGGCTCGCAGTCGTTCCAAACACGCAGCTCCGCACAAAGCCAGGAAAAAAAAAAACACTTGGACGCTTGCAGCCTACGAGGCCCGCGGCGTCGCTCGCCGGCGGCAGCCCGGGCGCCGCGCGCGCCAGCTGGCCACCCCACATGTTCCAGAACACCCCGCGGGGGAGAGGGGGAGGAGAAGGAAGAAGAGGAGGAGGAGGAAAACGAGGAGGAGGAGGAGGAGGAGGAGGAGGGGAGAAGCAGGCCGCTCGACGATGCATTTGTCAACTAACCATCTTGTGCCATCGCCGCGACGTCTGGGAGCGAGCGGACGAGGGCAAGGGAGCCTCGAAAAGATTAAAGTGAGCGAACGAAGATACTGAACAACGTGAGACAAGCATCCAGGAGCAGATGCATTGGGCTGGCACAGGGAGGCGGAAGAGGCTTGGACCGCGGTGGTTGCGGTCAGCACAGAGAATGCCCGCGGCCAGCCCCCTCCTTCACGTGCGCGCACCCCCAGGAGGGGAGAAGCAGGCCGCTCGACGATGTATTTGTCAACTAACCATCTTGTGCCATCGCCGCGACGTCTGGGAGCGAGCGGACGAGGGCACGAGAGCCTCGAAAAGATTAAAGTGAGCGAACGAAGATACTGAACAACGTGAGACAAGCATCCCAAACCTCCCAATCCGAAGGAAAGAGTTCTCAAATGTTATACTCGTTGCGGGCTTTCGAGACCAGAATGGAAGCCAGCACGTGAGCCAGGCGCGCAGGGCACGGCATTGCCAGGACCGTCCAGCGAATTCCTTTTGGCCCCCCGCCTTCCAAGTGCTGGTGAGGGCGGCCTGTGCGACTACAGAGACCCCTCCCTGAGCAGACCCGGCTCAACTTGACAAGGTCGTCAGGGCACACATTACCGACTAAACAACGGGTCCGTTTTCGCCACGGCTTACCCCGCTGACAAAAATCTGCAACAACTGGAATGGCACTGCTGCGCGCAACAAAAACTTTCATCTTCTGATCATGCCACATTTTGGAAGTGTGGGGGTTCTCGAGAACCCAGGGGGCCCCGGCGGACTGGGCGGCACGGGCCAAGTCGAGAGCTGCGTCCAGCGTGGCATTTCCGAGATCGACCTTGGCCTGGTCGTTCGCCCCCAACCCAGGGATCCCCCTAATATACTTCCGAGACCGAATTAGATATGTACGATCACGAGCGGCTGACCACGAGCTACAAGGGGGAGCGAGCATCAAGGCTATACAACGTCCGTTAGCGAGATCTTGCTTGATGGGCCTACGCACTGAGCTACTACACAGGTCTCCCGAGGCCCCATGCAAGAGGTCCCACTCGCGAGCGTTGAAACCATTCGACCGAATTTTCTTGCTAACTACTCCACCTCCAGCGAAACAATCAGCTACATACGTCTTACTCACACATGCTGGCGACCGAAAGCTAGCGGGGCGCACCTGCCGAGGAACACATCCGCGAGCAGTGACTCGCATCGCAGACAATGGCTTTGGGTCAAAGCGTCCAGCTTTCCGAACTCCAACCCCACTCGAGCATGCTTCTCGTATCGTGCTACTGACTTCAGTTTGCGCCACCGCCCCCTTTTCATCACTTCCTGCAAGCTCCGAAGCTCGCGCAGCGTGTCGTGGGAGGCTCCGCTGTGTCGCAGCTGATACGGCACGAGCTTCAACCCCAGCGTGGCACCCGCGGCCTGCACGTCCGCCAGTAGGTCTGGATACGTGAAAGGGAAGGCCCTCTCTGTCGCTGGCCTCGTCCTGAGCTCGCCCCAGACCGCATCCAGCCACTTGAGCTCCCGCATGTCCAGCAGCAGGCTGTCGTCGAGTGTGCCGACCTTGGTGGGAACGTCCAACTCTTCGGGCACCACCAGCAGGCTCCAGTGGCGCGATACGCCCCCCACCGGGGCCATCAGCTGCCCACGCCTCACGCTGAGCAGCTCTGACGGCCTCAGGTAGCGCATGAGGGCGAGCAGGATCGCGGCCGCCTCGTGGCGCTTGCCCTGCTCGATCAGCCAGTGGCATACGGCCGCCCACACACACAGCGGCATGGGGTGGCGGCTCCGACCCGGGCGCAGGCGTCTCCAGCCTTTGACTGCCCTCCAGGCGCGCGGGAGCGACAGGTGCCCCACCTTCCCAAACTCCGGGAGGATATGCAGGACACCAGCTAGCAGCTTCTCCCCCACATTCGCCTGCCGCCCGCTCAGGAAAAGCTCCGTCATATGGATACACAGCGTCCCATCCAGGCGGCAAGGCGGGAGGAGCTGCAGCCGCCTCAGCTTCGCCCAGGTGGAGAAGCGAGAGACCAGGAGGTGGTAGTAGTTCCTGGTCTTGGGCTGCACGGCCTCCGACTCCAGCAAGGTGCTCAACTGATCCATGGAGTGCCGAGCCGCTAGCAGGTACTTGGTCCGCCTCCGCTTGCTCCGAGCGACGGTGGTCTCGTCCAGGTCGTCGCTGTCGGAGCTCTCGAGGGCCGCGGAGGCCGCGTCGCGGTCCAGGCCGTCGGCGCCCCCCGCGGGGACCTCGGCCAGCAGCGGGCCCCGCGCCGCCTCCTCTGCCGAGAGCATCTCCAGCTTCGGCGCCGGCCGCGGCCCCAGCAAGGCGGGGGCGGTCAGCCCGGGGGCTCGCCTGGGCGCCGGCCTCCGCGCCACGGCGGCCGTCGGCCTCGGCGCCCTTCCCTGGCCCAACCCGGGGCGGGCAGGCGAGGGGCCGCTCGGGGCTGGGCGCCTTGGCGGGGCCAGGCGTGCGGCCCTCCTGGCCGCCGCCGCCCGCCTGGCCGCAGCGGCTGCCTGCCCCCGGCCCGACTCCATCGCCGTCTCGCGATGGGAAGTCTGCCGGGTTGAACTCGGACTTGATCCAGCGAAAATACGGACGGATATCGTGAATAAGACATAGAGCACGAAAGCGTCGGATCTGTTGCAGCACAATATAGTTCTTACATCTCCCTCGTGCAAAGGAAAGCACAATAGCCATGTTGTCGACCAGGAAAAGATTGCGACTGTCACGGACTCCCTCGGCGATCAAACTTTCCAAACCTAGAACCAATGCACGAGCTTCTAACTCCAGGATACGCTCTCCGAACTTCCACCTCCCCTTTCCAGTGACTCTCCAAGGTGATATCAAATCTTTCTCAGTGATGCAGCCCCAGGCCGAGAACACGCCCCCTTCCCCGAACGGCACCTCCGGGAACAAGCTGTCGATCATCCAGACCTCCTCCCCCGACGACGACGGCAACGCCTCCCCTATGTCGACAAAGCTGGCGGAGTCAATGAATGGCGTCTGACGGTACTTTTCGCCTGCCTCATCTAAAGGATACAGCGCTGCACTTGCGGCCTCGCGAGCTCCGACGTCATGCACCCGTCGGAAGCGAGACACCTCTGAGGTACGGCCAATAAGAGCCACAGCCTTGGCCGTCAGAGCACAACGGCAATGCCCCCATCCCTCGAGGGAGGCATCTGTAGCAACAATAGTCTCGCACCACCGTGCATCCCACGGCGCGCGCACGAGCGGCAACAAGCCAATGAAGGCCTGGAGCTCCAGTCGCACCGTCGGCCAGACAACGGCCATGTTCTCACCGTGCCGATGCATGAAGGCGTAGCAGGCGTTGAACACACTCAAGGCCGTGCGATCGAGCAGGCTGACAAAGGTGGCGTGGCCGACGAGCCTCTCGAGCTGCTTGCCACTCAGGCGCCGGCGGCGCAGGGCCCAGCGAAAGGCGCCATCGATGCGCCACCTCCGCTTCTCGGTCACCCGCGTCTCAAGCAGGCGCCCGTCCAGCACGCAGCCCAACGTCTCGCCTCCTCCCGCCATCAGCTCGTGCTCGTGCGTCTTGAGGCCCACCGATCCCAGCGCCTCGCAGCCGGCGCCGAGCGCGATCTGCACGGGCGCCTCCGAACTCCCGAACACGTCCAGGTTGTCCACGTACAGGGTGTACTGGGTCTCGGCGCCCTTCCGCAGCACGACCGGCTCCGTGTGGTCCGTGATCCTCCTGCCAGGTCCCAACTGGTGCACCTGGTTGAGGACTGTCTCACTGCACTTCTGAGCCACCCACAAGGACCAGGTGAACCCCATGGGAAAGGAGGCCAGGCAGGGATAGACCGCAGCGTTGAGCGCCATGTCATCTCGCAGTGGGGTGTACTTTGCGGCGATCGGCCGCAGCGCGAAACAGCGGTGCATCCCCTCGGGCAGCCGCAGCCGGTGGAAGCAGTTCTCCACGTCCCCCACACCCAGCGTGAAGCAGCAACTGGGGTCCGCGCTGAAGCCCGGCTCGCACTCTATCCTGGACAGCCCGTCGCTCGTGATCAAGTCCGTGTGAGGGGGGGCCCTGAATCGGCGATTCCCCCGCCTTGCGTCAATGATGAGCCTCAGGGACTTGTCCTTCTTGCCAACAAAGAAAAGGCCCGCGTGCTCAATGGGGTCAGCGGTCCACTTGATCAGGCCCGGTCGGTCCAGGTCCAGGATGAACTGCCGATAGGCCTTCTGGTTCCGCGACAGCCTCTTGTCCCAGAACGGTTTGATGTCACCCAGCCACTCGTTGAGCTGTCTAAACTCATCGGTAGACCGCATCATACTCTTTTGCCAACCCTCGATAATCAGGCGGTCCTCAGCGCCAAGCACCTCTGTCACGTCTGCAGCGTCATGGACATGGTCAGGGAGCGAGACGGAACCAAACTCGTAGGGCACGACGGTGGCGTGGGTCTCCTCGGCGTCGTAGCCGAGATGACCACGGAGAAGCACTCTGGCGGCTTCTTCCTGAGAGGGCGCTGTCACCGGCTTCGCGACGACAGGGGCGACGAGGGTCGCCACGGCCCTCTCATCGAATTCAGATGGCTCTGAGCGCGCTGAGGAGCGGCTGCCCAGACACCAATGAAGTGCATCCAAGGTCTCGTTCTTGCGCCTGAGCTCCTCCACGCGCAGCCCGTGTCGGTGTCTGGGCCGACGGGGGGAGCCGCCCAGCCTGGCTGGGACCTCGAAGGCGGGCAGACGCCGATGCACTCCCAGGCAAGGCCCAAAATAGGCGGCGGGGGGTGGCCCAGTCCCCCCGCCGCGCGCCTCACTCATGTCGAAGGCGGGGGCGCGGCGAGCCCGGGTTTGGCCTTCATCTTCGGCTTCCCGGTTCCGCGTCCCCCGCCGCCCTTCGGACCCGCTGGGGCCCCGGCCGAGCCGGCCGCACCTGTGTCGTCGTCCTCGCCGTCCTCCACGTGCTTGAGTGTGAGTCCTCCACGATGCACGCTACCCTCCAGCACCTTCTCCTTGAGCCTCTTGGCGCCGTACACGCGGAGGTCTGGCGCCACTGCATCTTCCAGCATCGCCGTGCCCGAGTACACTCCCGCCATGGAGTAGTTCGGCTTGGCGCCGGGCACAGCGTGAGCCTCGATGATGGTCTGGAACCTCCGCATCAGCACCTCGATCCCCGCCAAGCACGGCATGTTCACCTGGTCGTAGCACCCGAACATCTCGAAGCTCTCGGCGAGCACCCGCAGCTCGTGAAAAGCCCTGTCCGACGGAGACATGTGCTTCCGCCGTGCCCAGGCCTCCAGCCACGAGGTGGGCATCGGGCCAAAGCGATCGATGTGCTTCATCACACTGAGCGTCGTACAAGGCCCGTCGAGAGGCCAGTCTCGGAAAGAGTGCGAGGCTGACTCACCGCACACCATCTTCCAATCCTTGTGCCTCTCCCCCTGCGAGTCCCAGTCGACCGCGAGCACTCGGACATCCGCAGAGGCCTCCTCGGCGCCGGCAGCCGTGGCGGCCACCCGCCGCTCCTCGAGCGGGCTGCCGACGCCCGCGACGCCCGCCTCACGCCCTCCAGCTTCTCGGCGGAAAGCTGCGACTGGATCGGCGTCAAGCTCGACGGCGGCTGTCGGCGCCCCCCGCGGCGTAGGTGGCGAGAACAGCGCCAGCCTCTGGGCCCTGAAGTCCTCCAGGCTCATGTCGGGGTCGACGCCTATCACTGGGACCTCCATGCCGGCGTCAGTCACCGCCACTCCGTGTACGCGGCCTGCGAACGCCAGCAAGCGCGGGGCGACCTCCGTGCCGACGTCGCCAATCTCCAGTCCAGGTTCAGCCACTCGCCAGACCACGGCCGGGGCGCCCCCGGCTTCGGCCCTGCTGAGCGCGGCCCCAAAGAGGTCGCCTCGAAGGTCGCCTCCCGGCCCAGACCGCGCACGCGCAGCTGCCGTCAGCGGCAGGGGTGGGCCGGGCATAGGAAGGCGGCCCCGCCCGACGAGCCGCCGAGGCCGCGGCGCTGCCTCCAGCATCCCTTCGGCCGTGATCCAGCGCGTGGGCGCGGGCCAATCTGGCAATCCGCGCTGGTCCCCCAGCGAGCTGACGTGCCTCTGGGCGGACTCCATCAGGTCCAGGAACTCGCCCCGCTGGATTGGGCCGTCGAACTGCACAATTGACTCCGCCTCCAGCCCTGCGGGTCGCTCGCCCAGGGACTTGAGCGCCACGACCTTGTCGTGCAGAGCGGTATCCTCCGCGTAGAAATCCCCATTGGCTGCGTAGATCAACCAGCACGAGGCCGAGAGCGGCCACACCAGCACTCGTTCGTGTCCCCAGGAATCACCCTCGAAGAACACCGCGAACGTGTGCCCCGGCAATGGCGTAGTGCGGTCGGCGAGCGCCATGTTCCCAAGGCCTCTCGTGACAGCCACACGAAGCCAGCAGCCCACTCAGAAACGTAGTCGCCGCTCCAAGGCACAGCCGCCACCAACTGACCGACGTCAGCTCCGACTCGTCCTCAGAGGCGAGCAGCGGCACCTCCTGACACTCCTGCTCCCAGGGCGGCCCCGTGAACTCAGGGCACCTTTCAGGAACAGGGCAAGGGCTGCACTCGCGGGCCTCGCAACTCACGCCCCCGCAGTCGCAGGCCCCCGCGACGGCCAACTCCTCGCACCTCTCAGGTGCCGGACAAGGGGTACACACCTCGGCTTCGGGAAGAAGTCCTGCAGGATCCGCGTCTCTCGCGGTCTCCAGATCTGCGGTCCGCTCCCTGCGGCGCCTCGCCGAGCCCAGCGCGAACTCCGCCAGCCACGAGAAGCCCTCCAGCGCCAGCCCAGGCCGCTCCAGGAACAGCCGCCAGACGCCGGCCACGCATGGCGTAGCGAGGACGGCTAGGGCACAGGGGCGGGGCATGAGCGCCTATCTGAGGCGGAAGAGGCTTGGACCGCGGTGGTTGCGGTCAGCACAGAGAATGCCCGCGGCCAGCCCCCTCCTTCACGCGCACGCAGCCCCAGGAGGAGGAGGAAGAGGAGGAGGGGAGGAGGGGAGACAGGCCTCGGCGAGCGTCCATGCTCGACATCGCACTGCCCGCGCGCATGGCGAGCACGCAGATGAGAATGAATCCGCCGCGCCTCATGGGGCCTCTGACCGCCCCCGTTCTTCAGCAGGCCTGGAGCGGCAACGCGATTCAAACGGGGAGGGGGGAAGAGGACGAGGACGAGGAGGCAGAGGAAAAAAGGGGGAGTGGAGGGGCGGGGAGGCAATCCCTTTTTACGCGGACTGGCTGGGGGCTGACACTTCACGCGGCAGCGAAGACTGGGGCACTGACGCTGGCGGTAGAGAGTATGGCCGCTGGGACGCGGCCACTCGGTGGCGAGGTCATCCCGACAGCGCCCCCAAGTGTGGTGCCGCCTCTTCCACAGCGGCCTGCGGATATCGAGAACGCGCACATTTCACGAAACGAGCCATCGGCGGAGTCATGCGCCGATCCTGCCCGCTGCAGCGGGAGATGGGCACTGACGCAGCATGCCCTGCGCGGCCAGTGCAATGGCAAACGGGCCAGGCGGCGGGAACCACGGGGGCGGCGGGGCGACCCGGAAGAGGAGGGGGAGAGGGAAAGGGCGAAGCAACAGCAGGAGCAGGGCAGGAACAAGGGAAGGAAGGGGAACGACAACGACGAAGAGAAAAGAAGAGGAAACGACGACGACGACCGACGACGAGACCGACAGAGGACGGCGGCGGACGACGGGGAGAAGGGGGCCGACAACCGCCGCCCTTCTAGGAACTCGCGAGCCGCACTTCGGGCCGCATCGGCCGATGACGGCTTGCGCCGCTTCTGAACCGGCTTTTCCACGGCGGCCAACAAGGAAAGGAACGCCCGGAGGTGGCGACGAGGGGCCCCGCGGGGGCAGAACGGGCCCGAGCGTTTTCCGAGCCGGCGCCCAGCAAGGAGGAGGGAGGATAGAGGACAGAGGACAAGAAGGGAAGGAAAAGGAGCGCATCCCGCGCGCATCCAAGATCCCTACATCTGAAGTGGTCCTCGTCCACGCCCAGCACGGGTATATGTCAGCAGCATCCGCCACTGGAGCTCCACCAAGCATGGGCTTCCACAGCGCAGTGCGCTCACGCCGTGTCTTGGTTCGCCCAGCCGCCGGCCGCGGTGCGTGGCCACGTGCCTGCGGCGCTTCATCGCCACGCTCAGACGCTGACGACGAACCCGCCAATGTGGGCCTCGAGCCAGGGCTCTCGCGCCGCGGTCTGCCTCGGCTAGCAGGTGCATGCCGCCAGCTCGCGCCCCGACTCAAACGAAGAATCGGCATCCGCGTCAGACGTCGCAACGACCGGCTCGGGAATGACAGGCGCGGCCAACGGCTGAACCGCAGCGCGGGCGAGAGACGCCCCATGAAAGAACACTCGCGCTCTGTTAGATTGCCCCTCTGCACCAAGACAACAATGATAATCCCAGGCAACACCGTGCGACGGGATACGTATCCGCGCACCCGTGGCTTTCCGGGTGGCAGAGACCATGGCCCCCCCCTCTGACCAATGATAGCTCTGCGGTCGTAGTGGAACAACTGGGCCGCCCAGTCGCGCATGGGGCCCTCTGCCGCGCGAGCTGCGGGCGCAGTCGCGGCACTGGGCGAGCGCGATTGCGCCGCGACGCACGGCGAGAAGAAGCGGGAATCCTACAAACTGCAACTGCAGGATCTCGCCGGAGGTGCGCTTGTAATAAGATCCTGTTGCCAACTGCAACGAAGAGAACCGGCTGCGCCGAGACCGGGCTCGTCAGAATCTCTGCGCGATTGCCGCGCAGGCGCCCTGCGGTGCAACGCCCACAGGGGGCCGACTCGCACGGTCACAGCCCTGGACGAAGCCACTGCACGAAATTGGAGATGACCTTGCACGGAGCTCTCCGCGGGCCGCTAGCAAGAGGGGCAACCTTCCAATGGCGCGTTGCTCTTGGGCGCGCACGGGCCGCCCGTCCAGCACGCGCTGGCTAGCAGAATGCGCGACGTGATTTTGCCGGGCGATACTCCGGCGCGCGTTCGCCAGACTCGCGCGCCTCCGCCCCGCCTGCATCAGAGGTCCCTGGACGGCGCCCTCGGCAGGCAAGCCCCCCATGCCAGACGTCCCAGCTTCACCGTCGGCGGCAGCCAGTGCGTGCTCAAATACATGGACATGCACTGTGCATGGCGGGCGCAGTGCCGGCGAACGTGCAATGTTCCCCGCGTCATCCTTGTAATGCATGCGGCCACGATCACAAAGGACATCCAAAATGCTTGCACGATTCATAAAACGAAGTATCCTCGCGTGAGGAGGACGCGCAACATGCGAGAATACAATGCCGCGGCTGGTCAAGGACGCACGGTTTTTATGAAGCATGGGTTTGGCCACCTGCAACGCGCAGCAAGACTTCTGGCCGTCTAGCCACGGCACGCGTAGACGATCATGAGCGCGCGGAACGACCTCTGATAGCAAATTTCCAATTGAGAGAATTTCGCAGAAAAAAACCCAACAAACAATCACCAAGTGATCTCGCTTTCGCCATTGCATCCAGAACCTTGCCTGGAATCGCACGCGGGCCTCGCTCCCCCGTTGAGGCTGCCTGAAGCACGCGCAAACAGTGGCCACGCGGGTCGAGGATGCACGGGTCGATGATCGTCAACGCGGTCGCTTGTAAGCGACTGCAGAAAGCGCCATAGAGAACGTCGCGTGTGAGACTTTCGCACCACTGTCGCACTGCTTCGTGAACACGAAATGGAAATGGTTATCCGATTTCTTCGCTTGCGCCAGGCCGCCCTCTCCCGTGGGCCCCGCAGTCGCGGACAGGCGAGCGCGAAAGGAACTCGGCGCAGAGATATCGCGCGCTTGTCTCCAAACCCCCGCCAGCGGCGGCCCGCGTCGCAGGCGCTTCCAGCAGCGGCGCCGCCTGGGCAATCGCCGCACGAGCGCCAGTCCGCACGTCGACCTCTGGGCAGGCACCGCCGGAGGAACAGCCAGGAGGCGATTCAAGAAGCTCGCGAAGCTGCACCGCCTTCCCCGGTGTAGACGCCTGCTCGGGCATTTGATGAAGGCTAGCTGCTTCTGGCAGAAAAATGCGATCCGACACTGGCGCGCAGGCGAGCACAGGCTGCCCGCTGCTGGGGGCGCTGGCCGGAGGCGCGGCCCATGTGCCACAGCTACAAAATTCGCCAACAACTGCATGGTTGCCACATCCTTGACACCACGTGAATTTGGCCCCCGCTTGCACGGCGGCAGACACCGCCGAAGCCCTCGAAAGGTGCATGCTGCGGGCCAAGAAAGAATTGCCCAAATATTCCATGCCCGCGCAGATGGCCAAGGTGCTCGGCGCGGGCAGGTCCGCCAGCCCTGGCGGCGGGTCCACTTCGCGAGCAGAAGGTGGCCTGGACGCACCATATTTGCCCACGTTCTCGACGAATTGCACAAGTACGCGGCGCGGCGCCGGCTTCAAACCCAAAACAGATACGTCACCTTGCAATAATACTTCAAACTCTGCTGCTTTACGAACTCCCAGCCTTTGGACAATGCGATGCGCGGCGTGGCCCAGATCCCAGAGGCGGAGCAGGTCGAGAACGTCCTCGGGAAGCTGATCGGGACTACGGGGGCGGTCCAGCGGCTCCGCGTGTAGCTCCTTGGAGCGCGCAACCTGCCATCTCATTCGTCTGGTTTTATTTATCGACGCGACCAGCGGAACCTCTTGCTGATCGGCTTCGCCGGTCGCACTGGCCCTGCGCATCGCTCCGGACGCGCCCCGCCAATTGCGCCGGCCCTGCCAATCAGCGCTGCGAGAAGCAACCATCTCTCTGCGTGCAGCTGAGGGCACCCCTGCCAAATGCCCGGTGCGAATCCCCCCCTGGACTCAGAACGCCGACCTGGCCAGCTGCCTTGAGAAACGGTTACTTGGGCCAAGGAGGCGATGGGGCTGATGGGGATGCTTTCTTGATCTGCGGCTCAAAGGACGATTCCAGAGAGCGGGTCGCAGCAAGCTTGGGGCGACAAACAAGATGATTGCCAACGGGCCAAAAGCCAAAGCCGGAATGCACATGCGAGGAACAAAATGAACCTCATTAAGCCGAACAATGACGGCGGCAGACACGAAGGCCAGCGGAAGGTCACACAGTGGCGCCAGCTCCCGAGGCGCAGGCCCGCGAAAGACCAGAGGGAAACGCGGAAAGAAGAAGCAGATGCGAAGACAGGCGCGGAAAAGAAGGCAGAGGGGGACAGGAGGGGCACAAGAAACCTCACTCACACAGCACCTCATGTGCTCGAAGACTGGCCGCGCGGGGGGAAGTCCTGCCAAAGGATGAACCACTTGCGCAGGGAACCACCTCCCTCAGGCCCTCCAGCCAGCACCTCAGGTGGCCTTCACCAGCACGGGGTGTATACTAAAGGAAGGAGAGGCGCAGGTGGCTGATGGGGATACGCGAAGCGTGAAGAATCAGTGCCCTCTGGACCAGTAGCGACGTCCATCGCGCGATCCTTCGAGTCCAAGCGCGCCCCCCCGTCAACCGCCAGCGAATTTCCACGCGCACCCCAAGCTTTACTATTGCTTAAAAACCGCAACAGAACAAACGACCGGTCGAAGCCGTTCACATCATCCGCTTCCGCGGCCCAGGGCACGTTGAGGCGTGGCAGAATGCCGAATGCTTCCTGGCAGGGCCTTGCAATTTCACAAGGCCCCCAGAGCGTCGCCACGCAATGCTGCGCGCACCCCCCCCCCTCCCTTATCGCCGCAGACAGGAGGGCCACAAGACGGCCCAGGAGGGCCCCGAGACGGCCAACGAGGGCCCAGCGACGACCAGAGACTGGCGCGGTCCTCACGAAACCCCAGGAATGGCCACAAGAGCCCAAGACAGCCTAAAGACCGCCCCAAAAAAACAATGAGATCGCCCCATGATAATGAAACGAGGAGGCTTCTGTGCGTTGCTCGAAAAGTCACGCAGAGTGCCCTGCTGGCACGGCGACGGATCTGCCGCAGGCACCCGACTATCCATACGCGCGGCGCCTCCTTCTGGCATCGGCGCGCCCGAGACGGCGCGCGACCATATACACCAACAAATACAAGACATATCTGGGCTCAGCAAAACAATTAAATTCACTGCAGGGCATTGCTGGGCATTGCTTGGCCTCGCTAACTGGCACTGCTTGGCGTTGTTGCGAATTTCCTGGTATTGCTTCGTGCTCGGCATTGCTTGAATCAGTTGCGCATTGTTTTGCGTTGCTTGCATGCGACGCCCGCGAGGCTGAACGGCTGGTAGCTGTCGCAATTTGACGCGCCCCTGTCTCGCGCAGGCACGCGACGTCGGCAGCGCGCCAATCGTCAGGGGCAAATTCCTGAAACCAACATTGTTTGCGCAAGTCGGTGAGCCATGACAGGCCCTTCTCTGCGCTCGCCACTGCTTGCCGTCACTCGCCAAATGAATGAGAAAAACCAAATGCTTTCCGAACCTTCAAATTTGTCGCTGCCTCGGATATCTCCGCAATAATAGCGTCGCTCTCGCCCGCGGCAAAGAGGTCGCCCAGGATCGTTTCGAAATGTTCCACCATCGCCTCTGCCCAACTGTCGCTGTCAACCAAGGCTCCATCGACATCCCTCAGGCGGCCGCTTTTCGGCCTCTCTGGTTTCCTGCGCGCCTTGATGGCTTACGAGACCCCTGTCTGGACGTGCTGCTCCAACCGCTCGGTCGTCGACCTTGCTTGAGCGGCGCTTTGCGCGGCTCGCGCTCAGACGCTGCGTCGCTGCTTTCCAGGGCAGGGCGCTCGATGTTCAGCATAAGGGAAATGCCCTCGAAAGTCCACGGGTTGTTCGCCCGCCGGGTCTTCTACGGAAGCGCCTCGGACGCTCTGCCCGCGGCAAATCTCGCGATCTCCCGCTTGCGCCCCAAAGTCCAGTCAGACGAAAATGCCGCCGCGCACCCGCTGAAATCCGCGGCGAAACGATTTGCCGCGCTGCCCCGCCCGAGCGTTGCACCGCGCATCCGTTTCGGGCGGGCCCCCCACTGCAAATCCACCTAGATCGATGCGAAGAGTAGCCGACGCCAGAAAATGGCCCAAAGCGAAAGGGACCGACGGTCTCGAAGTCACGGCGCACATGCGATTCATCGCGTCACCGTCGCATAGATGAAGAAGCCGATCTCGCCGACGTTTCCGGCGCACTATCCAGGCCGACAATGAGAAACCTTGCTCTCGGCAGCGCTCTTGAAGAACGCGCTCGCGACGAGCGTGGCGCTGGCGACGGAAAAAAACTAGACGAACAACTCCCGGTTGGGAATATCGGCTTCATGGGGGGGCCTCTTTGCCGAACGCGCGGGGTCCTGCGACGCCCCCCCGCGCATTTGCCCCCCTCGCGTCGCGTTCATGTTGCCGAAAATGTTGCTCGAAATGCGCGGGGCAGCGCTTCTGCCCCGCTGCCCGAACCACGAACAAAATGCACCCGCAGATCACTCCGAAAACGCCTCCGCGGACGCGCAGCTTCAGGCAGCAGATTCGGCTTGACACCTGCCTGCCAGACTGCGCATGAGAAGCCCAGCTCTGGGGAAATGATGAATCCGACTCCGCACCAGCGCCGGTCTGCGCAATCCGTGCCCGACAATATGATAAGATGGACCCGCCTCCCATTGCATTCTGCTTTCTGCTATCCATGTTCCTAGACAGCACAATATCCCAATATGGCGGACACCTACGCGACGAATTAAAGCAAAAATCTTTCGGTCCGAGAGGCGCTTGGCACTCCCAGAGCAACGTGCCGAAACTGCTGAAACATCGCGGCCCCCTCTCTGACCTTCCGCGCGCAAGCTATTGTTGGCGCGGGGCGGGGCGTCGCCCACGCGACCTCGGCGGCAGCGCTGCCAGGAGCCTTTGTCGGGGCCTTTGCTGGTCCTGGCACGGCTCTTTGCGAGACGGTCCTCGGCGTTCTCATTTATCGTCTTCAAATCCAGTCCGTTGAACCAATCGATCTTCAATCTGTTCCCGACGACACTCGCCCTGGCCACCTCCTTCCCCTCCACTTTGCCGGCGCGCGCCCCCTGGTCGATGGACACGCAGTCTTTCGCGAACCTCCACTCGATCAGCTGGCCCCCGAGACCCTGGAGAAAGCCCGAAGCGCATCAAATCCTGTCCTTGAAAATTATTCGCCGCTGTGTTTAATGGTCGCCCTGTCCCGGACGACGTTAATCGCCGCAAAAGCGTCTACGTCGCTGGCAATTTCACAAAGACCAGCCACTTGAAGTCCACGCCCTTCTTGTACACTTCACTCGGAAAAGTTCCCGCGCGCACCCACTCGCGCGATGTGTCGTGGGAGTGCCTTCCGAGCCCCCCGACAACGACAATGGTGTGCCCACCCAAGCCCCTCGCGATCTGTCCAGTGCGGCAGCTGATGCTCAGATTTTCCATCCTATGCTCGGTCACCTTCATCATCTCCCCGTCCATGGCCATCTTGCCACCGCTATTCAACACCTCCTCGAAGTTATCCAACGTGACGGCCGTCACCTTGAGTTTCTGGGAATCATTCTCCACCGTGCTGACCGCGGCCTTGGCCTGGTAGGCAGCCTCCTTGGCTGATTTGGCCTCCGTCACTGCCTCCCTCACATCCTCAACACTACGCTTCTTCATCATATTCCTCATCCACTTTATGTCCTTCATCATTACCTTCATCATGTCTGTCATGTCCATGTCCTCCACGTTCGTGAAGTCTCTTCGTCCTCCTCCTCCGCCTCCTCCTCCATCCTGTTGCAGCCCTTCCTACTTCATCTGCATGCTCGGGAACGCAATGGGATGTACCTCGGGACGAGAAGGTGATACACCAGCGAGCCGATCACCGCCATCAATTGTATTTCAAGGGTTGCGCAGGCGCGGACGCACGTCTCGACCCCCTCCCTGTAGTGTCCCTGTTAACCGGGTGGTCAAACGAGGCGGGGTGGTGAACATCGCGGCGATAGACACTACGGATAGAGGGCCGCTCGGGCCGCGGGCGATAGGCACTACGAATAGAACACCGACCTGTAATCGGCGATCTATCGCCGACAGATCAGCGAATGGCCCCGAATAGCGAGTCCGCACTGTCCTATGCTGGGCGGGCCATCGGGCCCCCTATACTGGCCATGAATGGGCCGACGCCCCCTGGCTTTCGGGTCATGACTCGGCTCTCCGGCGGCCTTTCAGGAAAATCCAGGCGCCCCTCGGCGAAACGCAGCAGCTGGAGAGCACCCCGAGGCCGAGAAACCGCCAAGAACCAACGAAAACGCCCGAGCATCTCGAACCTCGAACGCCCGAACTCCTTGAATTGAACCTTGATGATAATACGGCCAGTTGCGCGAGGCGGCCGCGAGGCGCCTCGACCTTGAGGTGCAGGTGGGCCTGAACCTGCGGGCGCGCCCCCCCCGTAGCCTGCGACTGCCCTCCTGCCCTCCTCGCGCCGTGAAGTACCCATGACGCACAATTTGCGGCAGATCGCGGCCTCTGGGGGCCCTCACCGGGCCCCGGGACTGTCTACGAAAACGGCTCGGGATGAAGAACTGGTCCAGGGGAAGGGCCCAGCGCCGATCCGAGAAATCCGCGCGGGACTCCAAGCAGTTCTGGCCATGCAGAGTTTCTACTTCCAGAGAGGGGCCGAAACAACGTCCGACTTCCTCGATCGTCCTCCCCCCCGTCCCTACCCGCTCCAAGAAGGGCCTGCTCCGCGGTAGAGTCCCTGCTGAGCGGCGCGTACCTGCGAGGGGGGGGGCTGGCCCTGGCAGGCCCGAGCTCGGCGGAGTCGCGAGATCGCATCGGATTAGACGCTGACCCAATCGCTAGCTGATCGACCCGAATCAAATCGAGAGCGGATCGCCGCACCTGGCTCTGGCTAGCCTCGGCCAGTGCCAGAAAATCGAGTCGGCTCGTGACTGCTATTCCCAGACCCGCCTCGGCCCTCGGGGAAGTGGCAGACCCGCCTCGGGCCTCGGGGGACTACCAGGTCGGAGCTGTATCGAATCGCGAAATCGGACGAGGTCGGAAGCGGATCGGATCGCCAGCTGATCGCCCCGAAGCGGAGTGAGATCGGATCGCCGCGCCTGGCTTTGGCTGGCCCCAGCCGCTGCTGATGAATCGAGTCGAGTCAGAACCACCGCCACAGCAAGGTAAATCAAATCGTATTGGATCGGATCATAGGCCGCCCCGCCCTGCCTGAGAGGGGGGTGCTGAGAGCGAAGCGAAGGGAACGCCGGAGTTGTGCGCGCTCCTCTGGGAGACCCGCACGTGCTCAGGCGGGCATGGCGTGGAGGCCGTGGCCTCAGAAATGTGATAGCGGGCCGTCGGACGGAGCCGAGCGGGCTGTCAGACGGAGCGGTGTCGTTCGAGGGTGGAGCGGTTGAAAGAGATCGAAAGGAAGAGGGAGGTGGACAGGGCAGGAATAGCGAGACGACTGATGCCCTGCCATAGGAGGATGTGATTTCTCCAGTGCGCGGCCGCAAAACTTCCGACATCTTCCCTAGGGTAGTGTTTCGCCCCCGATCCGTTCCCGTGACCCGGTAATGACCCCCTGATGCACAAAAGGGGGGGGGCACCCATGTGAGCGGAAAACCGACTCGGGCGAGCTGGCCTGAAGTCGCTTCACGGCGCACCAACAACTGAAGCCGAAGCCAAAGCTGAAGTCCAAAGAAAAATTGCAGGTTTGGTTGACAGCACATCGGATGCTCAAATCCAGCAAGAAATCCCTTGACTGGAAAACAATACAAATCGTCGGATATCTGGGTGCGTGGGGAGTAGGGTGGCGAAAACGCTGCAGGGAAGCGCGCTCTGCCTTCGTATCGGATCGCAGGCGTGTCGTGGATTGCGCGAGCGCCCTCGCGTCTCACCAAGCGGAGGTGCTGGTGTATGATTACGCAGATCGACTGCGGACTGCAGAATTGACGCTCTCGGGCTTTCGTGAACGGGGGGGGCGGCAACAAAGGGGAGGAAGAAACGTACGCCGTTCGTGCACCTTGTAGGCCTGGGCCTGCAGCTCCCTTCATTGCCCCCCTATTCACCCGAATCCCGATGCGCAAGCCCTCGCACCACTCTGGGTAGTCCTTCACTCCGACCTGCATCACCCACTGCACGGCCTGGGTCGGCTGGGATGCAAAGGGTCAGGGGACCAACAAAACCTGGAGAGAAGCAGCCGTTGAGTCGAGAGAGGCTTTAGGATGGGCATGGAGGAGGTACAGGACACAAAGCAAGGATATGTAAAGGAGGCGATCGGATGGCAACGAATCATACGGATGTCAAAAGAGACGGCGAGGAGGAGGAAACGAGAGATGAGAAAGAAAGGGGGGAATCTCTTTCGTATGGTAGCGATGGGCTGGAACAAATGCGGACGACTTGTGCAGGGGCAACTGTGGCTCCTTCCTGCTCGCGAATGAACTGCGAGTGGGCGCCCTCACCACACGAGCAAAAAAACATGCTTGAATGCGCATGCACGGATGTAAACGTACATGCAAGCCGTGCGCTCCAGCACAAAGTCGCCTGCGTGTGAACGCGCCGTTCTGCGCATTTTACGCTCACGCGCACTCGCGCGCTCAAAAACACAGATAAAGTAGGCCATCGGAAATGCTGCAGCCGCTATGCGCCGACGTGCCCAACACTATTCAAGATATGCCGCAGACTGGCCCTGCAGAGGCAAGACGAGATCCGCCAGGTGCCCGCACGCCAGCCCGTTCTGTTGACTGTGTCGCCACCGCCACGCTGGCTTTGCCAGGCGTCCCGCGCTAATCTCGCCCTGCGCGCGCGAGGGCGAGGGAAGGCAAGCGAAAAGGCGGAAGGACAGGCTGCGTGCGGGGGGGCGCCCGCAACAGTGGCGGGATGCAGCCAAAGGATGGCCACCGACGGAGCCCAACTGCTGGCCGTCTGGGATCTGGGCTGGCATTGGTCGCTTCTTGTGTCCACTCCACTGTTCTGTCTTTGTTCAAATCATCCCTACAATCACAAGCCGAGTCTGCAAACTCATCTTCAGAATAATGGACAACGCCTTCTACCCAATCCACCCAAGACTCCAAACCGTGATCGTCGTCCTCGCAGCTGCCAGTGACTCGCCCCCGCGGTGACACTAACACCACACGAAATGTCAGGCGCTGAATTGACGGTGCCCGCTATTCCAACAAAAGCATGCTCGCCAATGATGGGGCATCTGTTGCTTCCATCGGACGGAGCAGGGGAAATCACCCCGCAGGGCGTGGAGAGAGACGATGCAGGACTGATGACATACCATGGAGACAGGCAGCGCTGCGATACCAATCTGAGTGCCTGAACCGGAGACGAATTGTCAAGCGTTGCATCGACCGTGCCCCGCTGCTCAAACGAATTCGCGAACCCCCATTGATGGGCACGTGTCCACGACTGTTGACGAGGAGTTTGTCCCGAAGCAGCGAGATCGATGCCGACGTCAGAGATGTGACTGCGGAGTAGGCAGACTGTCCTGCCGCGGGACCGTCCTGGCCCCTTCCTCCCGGGTGGAACGACGACGCTGGCACGGAAGAGGGGGGGGGGGGGCGGAGGACGGAACACGCCGACCAACCCGCAACGGGCGAGGAAAGCCGAACAGACGAGGACCTGGAGAGGCGAAGGGGGAGAGACCTGCGGCCCTGCCGGCGTCCGCCCCGCGGCGTCAGGCGGCCGTCGCGCCGTCCATGACCGTTGGCCGCCAGCAACACCAAACGCCCATCGGGGGGCAATCCGATGCATCCAATCGGGAGGAGGTTGAGGAAGAGGAGGAGGAGGAGGAGGAGGAGGAGGAGGAGGCACCGCCTTCACAAACTGTCACGACTATGGAGGAAGAGCCAACAGCCCTAAGATCCGCCGGCCCCCTTGTGGGGCCACCAGGCTGTAGGCCGGAGGTTCGCAGTTTCCTGTACCAGTTGCAGCTTCCAGTTTCCACTGTTACAGGCCTCGTGCTGCTTACTGTTCCTTATTCCACTTCTGCTTCTTGCTGCTTACTGTTCCTTGTTGACGGACCGCGCGAGTGGGGGCCCAAAACGGGCATTTTACCACCCCCAAATCGTATTGTCTGAGTTGCTGGGGTGAAGAAAATTGGCACCCCTCACGCAGATCGGCGGGGTCAGGGTCCAATTACCTGGCGAAAGTCCCAACCGTATACAGTTGTGGGTACCGTAATTGTGGATATCTGCTTCGGTGAAGCTCCCTATGGGGCCACGAAGCGCTGCACTGGGCGGGGGGGAACGCTGTACTGTGTGGGTGGTGTGCCGAATTGGGTTTCCGGGACGCATGCGGACGGTCCCACTGAGGGCTTCGGTGGAGCTCCCTATGGGGCCACGAAGAGCTCTACTGAGTGAGCGAAAATGCAAAATTGGGCGACCCGGACGCATGCGGACGATCCTATGGGGGCTTCTATGGGGCCACGAAACGCTGCACTGGCTGGGTGAAAATGCCAAATTGAGCTTCTGGGACGCATGCGGACGAGGGCACTGGGGCCTTCGGTGGGGCTCCCTATGGGGCCACGAAGCGCTGTACTGGGTGGGTGAAACGCAGGGAGGAGGGGGAGGAGGGCCACGAAACGCTGTACTGGTTGTGCATTGGGTGGGTGAAACGCAGGGAGGAGGGGGAGGAGGGCCTCGAAACGCTGTACTGGGTGTGCGGGACGCATGCGGACGGTCGCGCTGGGACCTTCGGTGGGGCTCCCGATGGGGCCACGAAGGGCTGTACACGGTGTGCGGGACGCATGCGGACGGTAGCACTGGGACCTTCGGTGGGGCTCCCTGTGGGGCCACGAAGCGGTGCACTGGGAGGGTGAAACGCAGGGAGGAGGGGGAGGAGGGCCTCGAAACGCTGTACTGGGTGTGCGGGACGCATGCGGACGGTCGCGCTGGAACCTTCGGTGGGGCTCCCTATGGGGCCACGAAGGGCTGTACACGGTGTGCGGGACGCATGCGGACGGTAGCACTGGGACCTTCGGTAGGGCTCCCTATGGGACCACGAAACGCTGTACTGGGTGGGTGAAACACAGGGAGGATGGGGAGGAGGGCCTCGAAACGCTGTACTGGGAGTGCGGGACGCATGCGGACGGTCGCGCTGGGACCTTCGGTGGAGCTCCCGATGGGGCCACGAAGGGCTGTACTGGGTGTGCGGGGCGCATGCGGACATTAGCGCTCTGACCTTCGGTGGGGCTCCCTATGGGGCCACGCAACGCTGTACTGGGTGTGCGGGACGCATGGAAGCGCTGTACTGGGTGGGTGAAACGCAGGGAGGAGGGGGAGGAGGGCCTCGAAACGCTGTACTGGGAGTGCGGGACGCATGCGGACGGTCGCGCTGGGACCTTCGGTGGAGCTCCCGATGGGGCCACGAAGGGCTGTACACGGTGTGCGGGACGCATGCGGACGGTAGCACTGGGACCTTCGGTGAGCTCCCTATGGGACCACGAAACGCTGTACTGGGTGTGCGGGACGCATGCGGACGGTAGGGAGGAGAGGGGGGCACGAGAGGAGGAGAACGCGGGGACCGTCTCTCGAAAACGAAGACCCAACACCACAGATGGTTGGGAAAAAAACACATGGGATTTGCCACATTTCTGAAATTCGGCGGCACCCCTTACGCAGATCGGCGGGGACAGGGTCCAAACACACACAAGGGAATTTGCCACATTTCTGAAATCAGGCGGCACCCCTCACGCAGATCGGCGGGGTCAGGGTCCAAAACACGAAAGGGAATTTGCCACATTTCTGAAATTCGGCGGCACCTCTCACGCAGATCGGCAGGGTCAGGGTCGAAACACAAACAGGTCCCGACACTGCTTCACGGCGAAGCCAAAGCCTCATGACTTCGCTCTTCCATGGCCCATTCTCCGAGAGAGGGGGCCGGATGCAGGGGGCGAAGCCCTTACGGATAAACAGTCGGACCTCCGCGCGGATTTCTTGGATCGGCGCTGGCCCCCCCTCCCCGGCGCGAGGCGCTGCCGGTGACCAGCGCACACCGTGCCCGTGGTCGGTGCGCCCGTAGAGGCTGGCGTCCAAGGCACGCAGAGAAGCCGCCCGTGGCCAGGGTGTCCCCGAGATCCGGACGCTGCAACTTTACGCATCGGCGACGCACGGAGCCGGGTCAGCGGAGGGCGGAACGGGGGAATCGGCCCCACGTGGCTCCCAAACCCGGCTGCGCCAGAAGGGATTGGTGACCCCCGTTTGCGCGCGCACCCCGGTTACGTGAGCCCCAATTTCACGGCAGGCATTTTCACCAAGTTTCGGGCCCTGGGGCCATCACATATCGATCCGGCTCGAAAGATGCAGCAGGAAGGTGGGGTCTAGGGTTCTGGTCGTGATTTGTTCGAGATATGGCATTTGATTCGCAACGTCGGCTCTCAGGGAAGCACGGGAGACCGCCTTCTCGCCAGCTAGAGGCCTCCGAAATGGGGTCAGAGTAGGTGGGGTCGGAGAACTGCGCCGCATCGATGCATCACCAACGCATCGACAATGCAAAGGCTACGTCGGCGATGAAACGGCGCCGTCGGCGTGGAGAAAACGGGGCTCCACATCGAGCCGCCGAGCCGATGCGTTGGCGATGCGGTGCGATCCTCGCACCCCGCCTACTCGGACCCCATGTGGGAGGCCTAGAGTTTTCGCCGGGCGAAACGTGTCCTCTGCACCCGAGGGCGGGCATACGTGGGGCAGGAGACGAAGCAGCGAGACTACGACCGCGGGGCAGCAGGAGGCAACACGTCGGCCGCCGTTGCAGTCGCGCAACGGGGCAGTCCAAACGAAGGATCCGGGCATGCGTGACACATCCTCAGCGCGCGAGGGGAATGGCAGGTGGAGCCGGCTGGGGGCCTGAGGTGGCTCAGCACGAATTCGGGACAGGAGAGGGATGGAGAAAGGGGCGCCGCGTCAACATGACATGACAACGTCCACCCGCGAGGACTGGGTGTTCGGAGCGACGGCCTGGCCGCGGTAGCATACCAGTGCGCGTCGGTGTGGAGACACCACCATGCTGAATTAAAGCATTTGGAGCCCCTGCACCACAGTTGCACTGGGAAGGAACGACTCCAGCGGAGGCCACCCCAACGGGGCCACGGCAAGTGTGGTCGGAAGATCGCGCGGCAACGCTGATGCATCGGCAATTCATCGGCAATGCATGCATCGGCGATGCATGGGGGTGAAGAACATCGAGCTCGGGATCGCGTCGCATGGCCGATGTCGCAGCAGGCCATCGTAGGAGGGAGGAGGCAAGAGGAAGACCAGCAGAGCAGGACCTCTCGAAGGGCGACCTCATCATTGCCCAACAACTGCTATGCCAGAGGCAGACCGTGCAGCCTTGTCCAAGTCGGGGCACGGTCATCGTGCTACCATCAGGACCGCTGAATCAGACAGGAAGGGGCATTTCTGGTCACGACGAGCCTCGGCCACGAACGGGTTTCCCGGTTTAGATCAACTGAACGGCCAGAAACGCATAGCCCCTCCTGACCCCAAAGTGGTACGTATTTCAGCGTCTTGACGGCACTAAACCCCAAACCCTGGACGATGCCTTTTGAGAAGCCAGGGTGATGCAGACTGGTCTGACTAGGACTCCGAGGCACATTCCAGACGTTGGGACGAGTCCCCCCCCCCCCCAGGAGGCCCCAAAAAGGCGAAAACGGGAAAAACCATCGGCGACGGTAAGATTTGCTCTCCCTGCGATAGTCCGTCACGGGGAGGCCTTGAAGCAGTCCTCGCCCTCGACAGCGTTGTGGCAATCGTTCGGACAGTACCCCTCGTCAGGCTCCTGGCACCCGGGCGGCGGCGGAGGATAGAGCAAGTGACGGTATCGCCCTGCCCCGCCGCTCTGGGATGGGGCAGGAACTCTGTCGGCCCCCCGCAAGCGCCACAGCAGCTCCAAGGAGCCCGAGAGCCCTCCCTGCCCCCCTCCCGCCCCTGCCCGCTGCCGCCGACTGTCCCCCCTCCCTCTCTTTGTGTCCCCCTCGCCCTCTCTCGTCGTCTCTGGTCGTGTTGACTCGTCTCTCGTCGTCTCTCATCGTCTCTCGTCGTCTCTCGCCGTCGTTGACGTCTATTGCTTCCTCTCTCTTTATCGGTCTCTCACTCTCGCTCTTGTCTCTTTCGCTCTCTCTCTCTCTCGCTCTATCTCGATTGCTCTCTCTCTCTCTATCTCTCTGTAATGTATATATACATGTTCGTTTATGTATGCCTGTATCATGTTATATATCCTTCTCTTCTTCTCTCATTATGTCTCTCTCGCTCTCTATCTCTCGCTCGCTCTCCAAGCCTCAGTAGCTCCGTGACGACTACCCAAACTTCAGTGAAACAAATTCAACTCAATGTGGCGAATCATACAAATGAGAACTGAAACATCGTCACTCGCCAACGTTGCCAAAAAAGGCATGCGTGCAAGCGGTGAATCGTGAATTCAATTCAGCGGTGCGCTTCTGACACAAACTATCCTCGTCATCGCCCAGTGGGTTTGTGCCTCCACTATGAGCTTGGGGTGCCTCCACCCAGCATCAAAGACAAGTAAGAAGTCTGAGCAAACACACGTGCGGACAGCCATTACAATACACACAGGAACCGATCGCATTGTCGTTTCATCATGCCTCAACGCAACGAGTACAATGTTGCACACTGCAAAAAGGCCAAAGTCCCGATCCCTCGAGCAACCCTAAATGAATCCGCACTCCCGAAACCACGATCCCTCGAACAGAAACCATTGAGCAACGCTGCAGAGGCTACAATCCCTCGATACCCACAGATTGGATCCGCGCCCACGAAATCACGACATCTGACAGAGAAACGCCACTTCACAAGCCAAACTGCCGCGAACAAAACTACGGGTCCGAGCAACAGAAGCCACGATGCGTAGTGAGAGGGGCAAGAGCCCCCTTCCCCCCCTCCCATGTGCAGGGGGAGAAAAAAAACAGGGTGGTTCAGGGAGGGGCGGGAACGCGATCTGGATGAATGTGCAGAAATGGGTGGACAGCCGCGTGTGGAGAAGCCCCCTGGGGCCGTTAATGTAGCTCCCCGTGAGGCGCGACCCGTATGAGGAAGGCGCCGACGTTGGCGAGCTGGGCCGTTGGTGGAGCTCCCTGTGGGGCGCGATCCGCGGCACGCGGACTGTGTCGCTGGGGCCAAGGTGGAGCTCCCCTTTGGGCACGAAAGGCTTTACGGGTGCGTCGAAATGGGCCAGGCATCGGCATACGGACTGTGTCGCGAGGCCGTGAGTAGAGCTCCCCGTGGGGCACGTGTGCCCGAATGGGCGGGGGGCGGCATGCGGACGGCGTCGCTGGGAAACGTTTGAGAGGGGTGCCGAAGTAGGCAGAGTGGCGGCATGCGGACTATGTCGCTGAGGCAGTAGCTGGAACTCCCTTTTGGACGCGATGTGTGTGAAGGGTGCGTCGAAGCGGGCGGGTGGTAGCCGTAGGTGAAATTCATTATGTCATTCAATTCTTTCCAGGATGTTACCTCCAAGGCTAGAAAGAATTGATTCAAGGCAGGTACGAAGGGTCGAACAGAGCAGACCCAGGACATAGCGGGATACAAGCAAGAGATTACAAAAGACCATGTTCATTGACTGGGCATGCAACGTGGTACCCCGCAACAATCTCCTCCGCAAACGAAATCAGATCCGTCACGAGAACCCACAATTTCCAAAGCAGGTGCGAATACTACTTCAAGCGGTATCCCTTCTCCCTCTGCGCCTCTCGTTGCCGTGAGCCAACAAGGTCGGGTGACGGGTCCTAGATAATCACCTCAGGGAACTCCTCATGCTGCTTTTCACTCCAGGTCATTTCTGAAACCCTTTGGCCTGAGAAGATCTCCTCGGAGGATGGAAGAGGCGGAAAACCTGAGGACCCCTTTGCCCTCAGGCCCAAATGCCGTCCGAACCGACCGAACCGACAGCGAAACCGAAACCGACCGAACCGACAGGCCGCGAGTAGCCTAGAAGGGCGCGGCGACGCAGCAACCGACCGAACCGAACCGACCGAACGCAGCCCACCGCGACGCAGCCGAGCCGACCGAACCGTGGACACCGTTGCCCCTTGCGGACGTCTTCGGCTCTTGGCGACCTGAAGAGAGCAACATTTTTGCGGGTTGTAGCCACGTTCGCCCTGCCGGCTTGCAGGCACTGCGGCGCCGGCGCCGCCGTGGCCCCCCGCCATGCATACCATCGCTCCGCTGCAGGATCGTCCAACCTCACTATCCTGAATCATTCTTCCTTTCCCTGTCTGCCTGTCCCTCTTTTCTTGTGCCTGCTGGTGCGGACCTCAAAATGTGCGTTATTACAATGTCGGCGTGGACCCTATGCAATGGTATCCAGGGGATGCACCATATGCAGCGCAACATATGTGGCGCAATCCATGGAATGGAAAATATGTTGAAAAACCACAATTCGAATTGAACATATTGTGGCACCGACTCACATGTTCGAACCTTCCTCTCACCAGCCCACCCGCAACTTGGTGGCAAAACTCAACTGGCACAGTGACGCCAGGAACCTTGCAGATCCATGACTCAAGCGGGCGGGTGATGAAGGTGGCAACGACATCTGCGACTGCGACGACGCTGGTGGTGGCAAAGATGACGACGAGGATGACGATGGCAAAGATGACTCAATTGCGATGACGGCGACGCCCATGATGACGATGAAGGGGAGGATGATGGTGATGATGATGGTGCTGCTGATGGCGATGGTGTTAGATACAGTGACGACGGTGCTGGGCGATGGCGATGGTGCTGGTGATGACGACGACGACGATAGCGATGATGATGATGATGATGATGGTGAAGACGGTAGTGGCGATGTCGAGACGCCATTGAAAACGCTGGCGATGAGGATGACGATGGTGCTGGTAAGGATGATGAGGACGATGGTGTTGATGAAGATGCTGATGATGACGCTGGTACTCGCGTCAGGGCCCTCATAGAAATGAAACGCACACTCAAAGTACACACAATTGGGCTAGCGGCCCAGCAAGAAACACACCACAGGTTGGAATACACAGTGCTGAAGAGCTTTGCCCTTCTTGAAGCCGAAGCGGAGCTTCAGCCTGAGCTCCTTAAGCTGGTCAGAGATACTGGCGGAGCAGATCGCCGCTGCGCTCGGGGGAAATATTCAGCAAGGCGGCGGCCCCTGCAAGCGCGATCACCGCCCTCTCAGCAAATGCCTCAGCCTTGCCCACCAACTCGGGATCTGGGCCCCGCTTGCCCCAAGCGCACGCCCTCTTGTATTCGTCGGTCTGCGCGGGCATCAGGTCACTCAAGTCCTTGATGGACTGCCACTGGATGCCCGCCGTCGCTTCTGCGCGTGCGCCGAGACCTTCTTCGCCTCTGCAGCCTGGGAGAGACCCCCCGCCACTCCTTCTCAGAAAAGGTCGCGTACTTCACCTTGTCGAGCTTGTCAGTGGCCACGTTCACCAACTGCCGAGCCTAATCGACGCGCATGTCGGACACGCTCTCCCTGGCCTCGACGGCCCAGTGCGCCTGTGCCTCGATCCTGAGGCGAAGGTTCAGGCCTATGAATTCGGCCCCGCTGCCCTCGGAGATGGCCTTTGCCCTCGCTCGCCCATGAGTTCGACGCCGCCCTCTACATCCATGATACCAGCAATGCCACTGGATGCTGCAACGGCGGCATCACACGCAGCGAAGAAAAAATGCGTCGGGCACGACGCCAAGGCGCGTCGACGTCGACTTGTCGGGGCAGATCTGCAGCAGCCCCTCCAAGCACGCGTGACCATTCGACCGCGCCTCGGAGTTGGGGTGTTCCTCAATCATGGTGGCGATCAAGTACTGGGCGCGGTCGATGCTATCGCCCCTGGGGCCCTCCTTGAGGTCGAGCCCCTCGACGTCCGCGCAGGCCTGCGCGACGTCGGCGACGCTCTGGCTGTGGGCGGCCGCGTCGATGGAGGTCGCGCGCGTGCCATTCGCCAAGCCGGGCGCGACCCTATCACAAACCATCAAGTAACGCGCGGCGCGGTCCGCGCTGTCGATGGACTGGAGCTTCGTCGCCACTGTGCGCTGCATCTCCTCGATCTCGCGGTCGCTCACGAAACAAATGCTCGCCCCCTGCGCCAGCTCGCCCACGCCGGCCACCGCCTCCTTGGAAGGAAGCGGGCTGGCCGCGAAATCAACGCCCGTGAACGCAGCGCGACCACCTCGAGAACCTTCCGCTTCAAGCACGCGGACGTCTCGGTGGTCTGCTTTGGCAGGCTCCCGGTCCACGTCAGCGGGTTCTGGCACCGCGGCGCGAGCTGCTCTGTGAACGGGCCCTCGCGGCAGGTGGAGAGCGGGCGGAGGCGCGAGGAGGGGGCGGAGGGCGGCGCGCAGATGTGGCGGTGGACGAGGACGACCAGGACAGGTAAAAAGGTAGGCCAAGTGAGGACGACGCGGCGAGACGCGAGCTCGGCGCGCGCCGAGCCCCGCTGTCCTTACTTTCGTCGGTGAACGCCTCCATGGCCACCCTGATGATGCCTGGCAACATGCGCTTCGCGAGCGGGAGGGGACTGCGCAAGGTGTCGACCTGCTCCTTGTAGTACGCAATAGAGGCCACGGCTGCCGCCAACGCGTGGCCCGCCGAAGATCCCGTCTTCTCCATCATGGCAACGGACCTCTCGGGCTCGTTGGCGACGTCGAGGACGCTTGCGCCTTCTGCAGGGGAGATGCAGCACAACAGCACTGCGCAAGCATCGCCCGCTTCCTTGGCGCACTCCATCTGCGCAGCAGTGCAGGTCGGGTGGTCGGCGCACTTGAAGATGGACAAGCAGGCCATGAGCAACTCGGAGAGAATGCCCTTCGACTCTCTCCAACTGTAGATCACGCCGCACAGGTGGTCCTTCACGATGATCCAAACGAACTCGGCAACCCACTCCTTGTCATTCGGCCCAGCGGCTCCGAGGGTAAGATCCTTGGGGTCGAAGGCCCCCGAGTCCATCGGGGCGGCGACAACGGCCAGGCTGGCCAACTTGATCGAAACCAACTTATGCCTCGTCTGCCTCGGGTAGTCGTTGAAGCCGACTTCCTCCAGTTTCTTGACCATGTCCAACGCATCTGACTACGACAACTTCATCCACGAAATCACAGCGGAGCTTCTCGCACCACGACACCTGGTTCTCGAAGACTGAGAGGGCGTCCGCATCTGGGTACGGTTCAACCTTTGCCCTCAACCTCTGGATGCGCTTCCGCAGGCCAGATGCAGCGCGGCCATCCACCGCATTGGCCATCACTGCTTGTCAACTGATCTTGGCGTTCCAGTGGGCGAGCAATTCGCCCTCGCGCAGGTTGTCCTCGTCCTCGCCCAGCGAGCCCCCTACCAGGCTGGCCGCGTCGCCCAACGGGCCGCTACTGGAATTGCCCCCGAACGCACCGCCAGCGGCAGCCGACGCTCTGGGCGACGTCGTTAAGCAGCCGCCCTTGGGACACTTATTCGGCACTCCCTGCGGGGGTGGCGTCGCTGCGGCGGCAGCGACGCCCTCCAGCACGTCTGCACCTCCGACCTCGATCGCTGACGCCCTGCCATCGCCGTCGTCGCCGGGGGCGCCCATCTCGGACCTGAGGTGCCCGGAGTACGTCTGCATCGGCGCCGCGCCTGGCTCGCCGCCGAGCTCGGCAGTGAAGGCCGACAAGTCGCCGCCCACCATGGCGTTCAGGCCCTGCTCGAAGACGCGCTGGCCCTGCTGCTCGAACGCCTGCTTCTGCGACTCCATCAATGTAGCGTGGAACGTCGCCTCCCTGGCGCTGCGCGCGTGGCCGCCCGACGCGAGCCCCCCACGTCAGAAGACGCGGGCTCGGCAGAGCCAGCCCCATCCTCGGGCTTGAAAAGGTAGACCTTCTCGGTGGCGGTGCCCGTCTCGTCGGGGGCGCCCATGCAGGAGAGGCTCTTCGCGTGCCTCTTGAGCAGCCGCGTCCTGTGCAAATCCTTCTCGAGGTCGGCCTCGGTTTTGACGATGATCGCCCGCGCGAAGTTGAACGCCATCTCCGTCGTGTCGCTGACGGCGGACACAGCGAAGCTCCGCGCGCCCGTCGCGGTGGGCTCGGTCGCCTAGTCTACCATCTGAACCGCGCCTGCCTCTCCAGCCTCGCGCAATTCGATGGCATCGGAGACGTCCAAAGCCGCGCCGGCGACAGCCGTGGCCCCCGCCCAACGGTGGCGGCGCGAATCCCCGACTGCGCGGCGCTGACCTGCGTCGCCGCCCCTGCGCAGCGCCCACTCGACGCCGTTCGCCCGGGGCGGGGTCGGGGGCCCTGCGCCCCCGCCCCCGCCCCCGCCTGCCACCCAGTTCATTGGTTTGCATGTCGAGCCGCGCATTGGGCCGGCAACTCGCGCGGCGAGAGGGGACTTGCAATCCGTGGAACTGGTTTTTTGGCAAAGCAAAACACGTCACCGCCAATTCCGCCCCCCCGCCCGCCGGCCCCCCCCGCCCCCCCCCCCCTCGCGCGCCTCTCCCTCGCCCACCCCACGCATTACCGCGCCCGTTCCGCCTCGAGCTCTTCGGGCGCGCTGCCGCAGCAGAAGCGCGCGCGACCGACCCTGCAGCCGTAGACGGTCGCTCCCCACCCTTGGGCGGCGACTCCAGGAGGACATCCTTCGTGGGCGCCATCGCCGGGGGCGGCTCGGACGCGCCTGTCTGCCGCGGGCGCTTGCCCTCGTCACTGGATGCAGCAGGCGCGGCTCTGGAAGGCTGGAGCCGCGGCTGCAAGGCGAGGCGCGCAGGGCCCAGGTGGGACTTCAAGTGCTTTACATAGAATTGGGCAGCAATTTGCCACGGGGCGGAAGGGTGACTGTCAACGGGACGGTGCGCTACGTCAGCAAATTCACAGAGCCTTCGCGCGCGGGCGTAACAAGGCATTGCCCACGTTCGCACGCGCCGAGGGAATTGCGAGGATATCTCACGCACGAAACATTGCACGCGGATGGCTGCTCGCTTTGAACAGTCCAAGTTCGACAGGCCCAGGTGCCCCGATCCGAACTCAGCCAAAAAAATAATGCACAATGCGGCCCCAAGACTTCCCTTCAGGAATCTTGCGCTTAATGATTTGCACGCTTGCATCTGGGACCTCGGAGAAGCGCGCGCCTACAGCCCCTGGGCGCACCACGTCTTTTTTAAGCACCCCCAATGGATGCAAGGTTGCCTCGTGGAAGCACGTTCAAGAGAACCGAACGCAACTCGCAACCCCAATCTACGCAAAGTTGCACCATGAGAGCGCGGCCCAGAGAGCAGCACATGACTCGCACACCCGATAAATGCAAGGTTGCCTCGTGGGAGCACATCCAGGAGCACCGCGCATAACTCGCACCCCCAACGCATGCAAGGTTGACCCGTGAAAGCACCTTCAAGAGAAAGGCGCATAACTCGCAACCTCAAGCGTGCTAGGCTGCCCCGCCCTCCGGCGTGCACTCTACATGCTCGGCCGCGAAAGCCAGCGAGCACCCTTTTTCCAAACTCCGCTGCGCGAGCGACATTTATGACGCCGCCGCCCCGCAGCGGGGACCGCTGCAGAAATGGGCGCCCGCTGGCGTTCATGCCCACGCCCGCAGTCTCGGCCTGCATGGCGGCGGCGCCCTATTCTGCTGGCCGCGGGAGGAGGGGGGCGGGGGCGGTGGGGGCGGGGAAGGGCGACGAAAAAGCCCGCGAGGGGTGGTGTGGATGGGGGGGGGGGGGGGATGGGCACGGCCGACTTGCCACGCTGCCCCCGGGCGCAGGGGGGCACCTCCAAGAATTACTTTGCGCACGGCCGACCTACACTGGAAGTTCGAACCCCCCCCCCCCCCCGTGCGCGACCCGATCGGACCGCGGCCCCCGAGCGGCTAGATCCGCAGCCGCCACGGGGCCGCCACGCCCCCAAAAAACGAATTCAAGACTAACCCAAAACGAACTCGAAACTTAACATCACCAGAACTACATTCCCCCTGCGAGAATTATTCTTACTATTGTTCCCAAAATTACGCTACCGAAAAAACCCGCATACTTATTCTAAATATTATGCGTTTGCTTGCCATTATCATATGTGCCAAACCCTGCGTTTTGAACCCTCGTCGCTAATGTTTCCAGCATTGAGTCCTTGAGCTGCTCGCGCGGAGGCGGCAGCGCGGACATGGCACATTTGGGCGCCATGATCGGCGCCGCACCTTGAACGAACGGCCTGACACGGCATGAGCCAAGGTGGCTGCAAATGCTTCATGAATAACACCACTCACCTCGCTTGCGTTTCCCTGTGCCCTGAGCACGACTGGCACGGATAGCAAGCTTGCGTACCGATGTGCCTTGAGCACTACCGTCACGGATAGGATAGCGGTCGCGCTCAAAGACCACCCCGTGGGCACCCCCTGTGGTGTCGGGAATATGCCATGTCTGCTATGCCCTGGACGACCGTCACGGATAGCCGGCGCCCTCGGAGACCACCCCCTGCGCACCCCCGATGGTGTCGAGAATATGCCACGCCTGCCATGCCCTGGACCACTGTCACGGTTAGCGGCCGCCCCCAGGGACCACCCCGTGCGAACCCCCCATAGTGTCGAGAATATGCCACGCTTGCTGCGGCCTGGACCACCGTCACGGATAGCGGCCGCCCTCAGGGACCACCCCCTGCGCACCCCCGATGGTGTCGAAAATATGCCACGCCTGCTATGCCCTGGACGACCGTCACGGACAGCGGCCGCCCTCAGGGACCACCCCCTGCACGTCCCCTATGGTGTCGAGGCTATGCCACGCCTGATGTGCCATGGACGACCGTCACGGATAGCGGCCGCCCTCAGGGACCACCCCCTGCGCACCCCCGATGGTGTCGAGAATATGCCACGCCTGCGTCGGCCTGGACCACCGTCACGGATAGCGGCCGCCCTCAGGGACCACCCCCTGCGCACCCCCGATGGTGTCGAGAATATGCCACGCCTGCTATGCCATGGACGACCGTCACGGATAGCGGCCGCCCTGAGGGACCACCCCCTGCGCACCCCCGATGGTGTCGAGAATATGCCATGCCTGCTATGCCATGGACGACCGTCAGGGATACTGGCCGCCCTCAGGGACGACCCCCTGCGCACCCTCTCTGGTGTCGAGAAAGTGCCACCCCTGCCACGCTCCCCGACCCTGGCACGCATAGAGACCGCGCTGAGGGACCACCCCCTGCGCACCCGCTCTGGTGTCGAGAAAGTGCCACCCCTGCCGCGCTCTCCGGCCCTGGCACGGCATAGAGGCCGCGCTGAGGGACCCCCCCCTGCGCACCCCCGATGGTGTCGAGAAAGTGCCACCCCTGCCACGCTCTCCGACCCTGGCACGCATAGAGACCGCGCTGAGGGACCACCCCCTGCGCACCCTCTCTGGTGTCGAGAAAGTGCCACCCCTGCACGCTCTCCGGCCCTGGCACGCATAAGACCGCGCTGAGGGACCACCCCCTGCGCACCCTCTCTGGTGTCGAGAAAGTGCCACCCCTGCCACGCTCTCAGACCCAGGCACGCATAGAGACCGCGCTGAGGCACCCTCTCTCGTGCCGAGAAAGTGCCACCCCTGCCACGCTCTCCGGCCCTGGCACGCATAGAGACCGCGCTGAGGGACCACCCCCCGCGCACCCTCTCTGGTGTCGAGAAAGTGCCACCCCTGCCACGCTCTCAGACCCTGGCACGCATAGAGACCGCGCTGAGGGACCACCCCCTGCGCACCCGCTCTGGTGTCAAGAAAGTGCCACCCCTGCCACGCTCTCCGACCCTGGCACGCATACAGACCGCGCTGAGGGACCACCCCCTGCGCACCCGCTCTGGTGTCGAGAAAGTGCCACCCCTGCCACGCTCTCCGACCAGGCACGCATAGAGACCGCGCTGAGGGACCACCCCCTGCGCACGGGTCGAAAAGTGCCACCCCTGCCACTCTCCGACCCTGGCACGCACAGAAGTCGCGCTGAGGGACCACCCCCTGCGCACCCTCTCCGGTGTCGAGAAAGTGCCACCCCTGCCACGCTTTCCGACCCTGGCACGCACAGAAACCGCGCGAGGGACCACCCCCTGCGCACCCTCTCTGGTGTCGAAAAGTGCCACCCCTGCCACGCTCTCCGACCCTGGCACGCATAGAGACCGCGCTGAGGGACCACCCCCCGCGCACCCTCTCTGGTGTCGAGAAAGTGCCACCCCTGCCACGCTCTCAGACCCTGGCACGCATAGAGACCGCGCTGAGGGACCACCCCCTGCGCACCCTCTCTGGTGTCGAGAAGGTGCCACCCCTGCCACGCTCCCCGACCCTGGCACGCATAGAGACCGCGATGAGGGACCACCCCCTGCGCACCCTCTCTGGTGTCGAAAAGGTGCCACACCTTCCACGTTCTCCGACCCTGGCACGCATAGAGACCGCGCTGAGGGACCACCCCCTGCGCACCCTCTTCTGTGTCGAGACAGTGCCACCCCTGCCACGCTCTCCGACCCTGGCACGCATAGAGACCGCGCTGAGGGACCACCCCCCTGCGCACCCTCTGTGTTGTCGAGAAAGTGCCACCCCTGCCACGCTCTCTGGCCCTGGCACGCATAGAGACCGCGCTGAGGGACCCCCCCCTGCGCACCCTCTCGGGTGTCGAGAAAGTGCCACGCCTGCTACGGCCTCCAACCCTGGCACGCACAGAGACCGCGCTGAGGGACCACCCCCTGCGCACCCGCTCTGGTGTCGAGAAAGTGCCACCCCCGCCACGCTCTCCGACCCTGGCACGCATAGAGCTCGCGCTGAGGGACCCCCCCTCTGCGCACCCGCTCTGGTGTCGAGAAAGTGCAACCCCTGCCACGTGCTGCCGTGCCGTGCCCTGCGCGCCTGCCATGTGTGCGATGCTGTGCTGAGCTGTGCTGTGATGTGCTGTGCGGTGCCGAACTGAGCTGAGCTGTGCTGAGCTGTGCTGTGCTGTGCTGTGCTGTTCTGCGCTGTGCTGTGCTGTGTTGTGCTGCGTTGAGCTGCGCTGTGCTGTGCTGTGCTGCGCTGCGCTGTGCTGTGCTGCGCTGTG